GCTTCTTTTTCTCTTCAGCCAGGCTAATGTGCACTGGCAGGGTCTGAGGAACTCCCTTGTCACTTACATTAATTCTTATCTTGTTGTTCTTGGCTACACTTCACTGAAGTACAGTGAGGGAGAGTGCTTCAATCAATAATGTAGATCCAAGGGGCCACCCCTCTCTGCTATTCCTAGGGATCAACACAATGGCTTAAAGCAAATGTTCACCCAACTTGTGAACTTGGGAAATATTAGGACTTCCCGAATTAGACATAAGACAATGAGGTGGCCTCACAAGGATGTTTAAGCCCACACATGAACAATCTCATCACTCCAGGGTAGCTTTTTACATTTTGAGCGTTTGCTACTCGATACAAAAACTGCAACACCTCAGAGTTCTCTCTCAGTAAAACTCACTGACAAAAAAGACAGCCTTGCATTTCACAAGCAAATTTCATCAGATGTTCCAGTTTGCCACTGTCCTGGGTACCCTGAGGCATTGCTGACACAGCTTGTGAATCTGATGCATTTTGTCATTAAGGAAAGATGATGCCCTTCAGAAGGTCCAGCTGTAAGCACTCACAAATGATTGGTCTCACATTCTTCAAGGAGGACAATACCACAGCTATAGACAGGACTTCTTTAGAATTGCCTCCTCTGGTGCTATGGTCTTTCCAAATTTGGAAAGTACAAGGGAGTTAAAGGAAGATGCAAGCAGAAAATCCCAAAATGCTCTCTCAGGAATACATTGGACTCTTAACCCATCAAAAGGGACTTCGCTTATTAACACTTAAATAGGGCTACAAGTAGCTAAGTAAAATAGAATGATCCTCTTGCAAAATGGTGGAACAAGAAAAATTCAAGAATAACAATTAAATCCTTAATTAAGAAAGAGAACCCAAGTCCTGACCTGAAACTCTTAGAAACTCTGGATATACATAGAATGAACAAGGACAGAAATGCAAGCAACGTCTGAAGTATCAAGAGAACTCTCCTTATTCTCCTGTGTTTGAAATATGTCTAAGAAATAAACTCAATGAAAAGTAAAGAGGCAAAAATCAAAAGTTGCTGCCATGATTTAATTAGATCTCAGTCTGGTGTAAATTAAATTAATTTAAAAAAATATCCTTTGATGACCTAAGAGCCATTTCTTAAGTCTCCAAAGCAGCCCATGTTCTTTAAATTACTTCCTGTCATATGGTTAATAATTTCTGCTTTCTACATTACAGGAATCATTCACCTAGGACAGCCAAACTGAACAGTGCTATCAGTGTGAGCACACTGCTACCTGAACTGCTGTGCCTAACAACATCTTCCCAATGATCCAGGAGTCTACTGCCAGCAGAACATTACTTGACTCCATTTCTCAAAGGAAAATGCTTGCATTTCCTGATGTTTTCAGCTGTGTTTGTACAACTTGCCTTTGCATGAAGTTGAAAATTATTGCATTTCCTTTTGACCCTTTGAGAGAGAGAAAAAAAGGAAGATTATCAAGATTAAATGAAAATTCCAAAGCTCAATCCTTTGTCCCCATTGAACAAAGGTATTTAAAGAAAGATTGCTGAGCTCAACCTCCTGCATAAAGCTAAAAGCTGCTTTCTAACCTGTTGCTCTGACACAGTGTGAACAGAATATTGGTTGACTGCATTACCGTTCATTCACACATTAGAAAAAGAGAAAAGTAAAACAAGCTTTCAATTTTAACTGTTTTGTTGTGAGTACACCATGGAAAAAATGCATTTGGGCCTTTCCTCACAGGGAACCAACAAAGAAAGGAACATTTACTTATTTTCTCAATTTTTGTTTAAAGCCTAAAGCCTGTCTTTTTTCACTATTTTCTTTCCCTTGATATTTTACTGGAGTTACATAGTATTCTAAAAGACAAGGGCTGAAAAGGTATCTATAGCCTAGATTTGTTTGAGTTATGTTACCACATAGGTAATTCCTTGCAGAGCCTTGAGAAAAAGTCTCCTTGTGAAAGATTTAAATAGAGGGATCTTGGTCTTTGGCTTTATGGTTAAACAAGGAATAACAAGCCCAACTCCCATATTGCTTTAAAGTAAACAAAAGGAGGACAGAAAATAACCCAACAGTCTTTTTGGTGTCTGTATGATCTGGAAAAAAACAGAGCCGGAGGTGCAGTAGGGGTATAGTTCATCTTTCATGGAGTATAAAGGCTTTCCTTAAAATAAATGTATTAATATATTGGACATACTCTATTACAAACTGCTGAGACTTCTACCTGGAAAAATTTCCCCCACCCCCTCCTTGGAGATGCTGGTTCTGACAGGCTGCAACTCCCAATATCTCTACCCAGCTAACAATGCACAGCACCTTGTTCAAACAAGACTGGTCTTCATTTCACACTCTCCCCCAGGGAATATCCACTTTTCTCTTCATACTATATCTTTATGACTGATGCAATCAGATTCTGGAAACCTGCCTTATTAGTTTATATTCCAGCTTCTTAGGGAATGATGTTAATTTTCCATTGTAGGACCAGAAGATTTTAGATGTGCTAGATCTTGTCTATAAGAAACAACAAAAAAAGTGGCACACACAGTACCGTGCTAGGAAATGGACTAGAGTAAGCAGCATTCCTTGTACAGAAAGTCTAGAGGTTCCAAAAAAAGACACTCTCTTCAGTCCAACAGTGCCTGAAGCAAGGTATTTTACAATTACATTATTAATAGATATATGTGCACTTTCTTATTTATTCACCTGAGATATTCTGCTTAATTTATTCATCAGTTCACCATCATAATTGTTTTCTTCCTAGATCTGTGGTTTACTAAGACTTTACATTTCGATGGCCAGAGTTCCATTATATCCATTAAAGATTAGATAATTTTCTTTTGTTTCCCACAGCAAATAGGATCCCATTTATGTCCCAAACAGAATGTCAGTAGTTGGAATGATGTTTTCTTAAGGTGCATATAAGATTAAAGACTGAAATCAGATGCAGTGTTGCCAAAGCCTTTGTAATATGCATGTTTTTCATGGCAAGATGATTGACAAGAATTGCAGTAAGGTGCTGAAGGGGATATTTCACCTGGCCCATCAAAATTCAATGTAGAGGATTAGAACTAAGAAGAGCTGACAATATTGACTTTGAGTACCACAACGGAAACATAATTAGCTTTTTGACATGTAGTGGACAGAAATATTCCATTTTATAAAAAAATCAGTTAGAGTAATTACTGCATATCTGTTGCATGCTGCCCTGGGAAAAGGAAAAAAAAAAAAAAAAAGAAAGAAAATAGGTCTGCTCTGTTGTTTCCTCTTTTCCCAGTAAAATCCAAGTTTGGCACTAGAATAAATGCATACAAACCCAGCCTTTCTGCTGGAAGAACATCAGGAAAACTTTGTGCATTAAAGTAAAAAACCTCTCTTAAAAGAGAGCACACAGATCTGAAAGAATGAAAAAGTCAATGAATTTTATACAAGTTTACGTATTGCAAAACAAACTGTCTGCACTATGCTTATTAAAGGCATATTTCATTGCCTAATCATAGATGTCTATTGTACCTTTTATGTTTTGAATCATAATTGCAGCCTTTTCCCCGACCTTAATAATGAAAGACATTTTGGCATATGCTTATATTGATTCCCCTTTAACAAAGCACTTAAGACAAATACTTGCATCCCACAGAAATTAATGGCCAACCTTAGCTTTGAGTACACTGATGTCACTGGCATTTAGACAAATGGCAATTTATATGGGCACAGAATTGCCTACTTTGTTGGACAGACATGAGCCTCTGAAGAGAAGTCTTCAAACTCAAAAGTCGTCAAAATATTCAACTGCTTTGGTTAGAAACACGATGGCGTCCATGGTTTTTATGCTTTTATCAGAATCAGTGTGCTAGCAAAAAAATGTGCAGCTGTTGTACTGAAGTATCTTTTCCAGCTCCTGGCCTGGAATAATCTAAACTGTAGAAAAAAATTTCAGTAGATGTAACAAAATACAGTACATGCAGAAATGGGAAAAGGCAAAACTGAATTGTACACAACACCTTGAGAATAAGCTATCATCAGGTATAATATAAATAATGCACTAAATTCTATTCCAAATTTATTTTGTCTGTATGCTCATCTGTTACTCTTTTTGCTTTAGGATCAAATGGTATATGAAAATAAGCAAAAAAAAAAAATCAAGAATTCTGCTTACCTTATTACATTTTTTAGGACTGTTACTAGTTATCCTACTTAGTTAAAACCTGCAATGAAATATTTCAGGAAATTCAAATAGATTAAAAGTGCAGAAATAGAAATGCCTTTACATGGAGAAAAGTCTATATTAATTCTCAGCATTAAAGCCAGGGCATACACTGAAGCAATACTAACTAGCCTGTTTCAGCTCAGTATTACCTGACTTAATGGGAACTTCTCATCAAAATCAGAGGACTTAAAGATATAAAAGAAAATTGAGATTAATTGAACAATGTACTCCCTTTTCTGACAGAGTTTTTCAGAGTTCTAAATACATTTTGCTAGTTATTTCTCTATTAATTTTCTAATATTTTTACCTAGCAGTATCCACAACTACTAATTAGCTTTGTAGCACTGCATTTTCTCCATTCTGTGTTCTAGTTTAAACCCCAAAGTGAACCGCTCACGTAGAATAATGTAGCCCTGTAAAATGCTCTGACTGCACTCAGGGAGTTTACTCTTGACAAGACTTCAAGAAGTATGTCAGCATGCAGGGACAAGGAAAATACCTGTTAGACCTCATTAGCAGGAGTAAATAGACAATATTTGAAACCATACTTACTAAATCTACAGTTTCTCTTGATTTAAATTTAAAATATGAAGCCATCCAGCCTGGAAAAATCTCAATGGCTACTCAGTTTATACACAGATACAGAAGTATCAACATTTCCTTAATAAAAGGTCTGAGTCTATTTCTTCATTTCCTAAATACATACTTCAACCAAGATAGACAGCATTAAGATCAAAAAAAATATCTATTGTAAGCAGAAATAATATGCAGAAAATTGAGCAAGTGCAATCACACATTTACTAGAAAAAAATATTTATTTATTAATTAATTAATAACACAATAAATATTGTGATCACACATATGAGGGACCCAGCAAAGCTCAGACTTGTTTGCACCATGGTGTGGTTTGACAAACAAATCCTCATCAGCTGGCATCCTAAGAAGCCTGACTACATTTTTTTTTTGTACATTTTCACATGCAATCAGTAAGTTGCAATGTACATAAATTGTTTCAATTTACATTGGTCAGGCTTTTAAAAACAATTCTTAAGTACCATCCCTGGTGAATCCTTCAGGAAAAAAAGCACAATCACTATATTTCTCATTATTCTCTCCTGCTGTTGATTCTGACATTATTATGTAGGTAGGATTGTATGTTTTGTTTTACTTCAGGGGGCAACAGCATTTTCCTCTAAATGAGGAACAGAACCAGGCTGCTGTTGAAGAGACAAGAACAATTTCATGCAAGCCACTCAGCAATTCTAAAACCAAGACAGTTCAGTTTCTTCTGAAAATGATGACATGCCTTAGTTTCATACTCTACATGCACTGAGGACACACTTCCTTGAGCTCTCTCTATTTGCTGTCCCAAACAATTAATTTGAACTTTATGATGAATGAAATGAACTCATCTTTCCATGGATTTGTCTGTAGGGACAGACAACTCTGCTGGATGCATTGGTAGGGCAGAGAAGAGAAGCAGATTTTACATAGTTAAACACCAGTGCTTTCACTTTTGGGAAACAAAAGGAACTATAATAGATTATCACTGGAAAGAAAAACTTGTATGCATAAACATTAGGGTTTTGTCAAAGGTGAGCTGTTTCTCACAGCAAAATCTCTATTAGGCTGTATCTCCATATTTTGAAATTTTAAGTAAAACATTTTAAGAAACCCTAATTTACTCTGAATTCCTTTTTTGTAAACAGCTGAGGAAAATCAAGCAAGGTTTTTGGCTGCATCATACTCATAAGGCCCTTTATTAAAGGAAACAAACTTCTGAATGTGCAGGTATGCACCTATTTATATAGGTATAAAGTTTTAATAATTTCTTCTAAAGGCAGCTGCAAAATTCAGGCATTGTTTTAACAACACTTCCAATCCAAATATTTCTTGTCAATGACAAACTTATGGATGACTTCACAGATGAAAAATAGCAGATAGAGCAGATCTGATAGGGAATGCCACTTGGAGTCCAGCTGTATCACTTCTTCCTAGTTTATGGACCAGAAACATGGACCAAAAAAAAAAAAAAAAATCAGGAAAATTTGTAGAGAAAACACTTAGGACTTCTTTTCTTGTTGTTTAATTAAAAAAAAAAAAAAGAAAATTTAACATTCTCATATCAATGAGAGTGTGATAAATGCTGTTAAATCCTATTTTACAAGGAAGTTTTGATCCTTTTTGTCATAACCTAACCATTTGTCTGTATTGTTGCAGCAGTGAAATAATCAAATTAAAATAGCAGATATATACATAATCATCAGACTACTCTTCAAAACTGCAACAAGCTTGGAATGAAAATATCAAATTCCACACATAAAACTCTGATATAAATTAACTATAAAAAGGATATATTTTATTTCACCTGAAGCTGGTCTCTTCCAATGTGCACTACTCTGCTGTAAAGGGTGCAAGAAACTGGGACTGAAACTCAGTGCAGACTGGTTTGTGTTTGCTTTTGTCAAGCTACCTCCTTAACAGGGTTCTGCACAAGAAGCTTCACTCTCAGATTTGTTCCTCTTCTGCCACAGATGAGCCAGCACCTCCCCCTTCTGGAGAGCACGAAAATCAACAGCAATTTGCAACAGGGTAATGCTTTCTTACTCGGGCCAGTACACAAAAACAGAAAAAAAAGTTGCAGATGATTATTTTATATCTCTGCTCAGGGCTGGACCATTTCTCTTCTGGATCACTGCTTAATGTAGTTCCCTTCAATAACGTGTTTTATTAAAGCCAGACATAAGTAAGTTCAGATATAGTCTCCAGCTCATCAGCAAGAAAGTCTTAAAAACAAACCAAGAAAATATTTCAGTGTCAGCCATATTTCTGCATTCTATAAAACAGAAAATGCTGCATAAGGTGGATTATTAGAGGGTTTTACTCTACTTGTCAGCTTAATATATACTGTTCAAGCAGTAATTTGTGAGATGTGTCAATTTAGTTTGGACTGAGCTGAATTAGAAATTTGAGGAGTAGGCAGAGACGCCACCATAAAATTCAACTCTTTCTTTAGCACCTCTGAGATCATTCATTCTCAGTCCTCTCCATAACAATGTGACCAGGCTGCTACTGATTAATCCATTGAGATTCTTCCAGCAGCAGTACAGCTTCAGGTGATTTTCTATTAAATTCCATTACATATTACATTTTAAAGAAAAAAACCCAAAGATGACTGCTTACCCTTTGTTATGCACTCCAGGAACTTGTTTCCACTAGTGAATGCAGAGTCTCAGTGTTCAATATTAGGATCAGTAATGAGCCATTCAAACATGCAGGACAAAGCATCCCACCAGACTTCTAAGGGATGTCCTGGCTGATTCCCAGCATCTGAGACTCCTCTGCTGGCCAACAGGGAAACCCAAATGACAACTGCTTAATTTGTAGATGGCCTCAGATGTCACAGGCATTAGTTATATTTACATATGAAATACTGTGATTATTCCCTAGCTCCCACCAGCAACAGAAGAGCTTTAGACACTCAGAAAGAGAGATTTCTTGCAGCAGGACTACATTGGTTTTAGAACTGTGATGGTGCAAGGAGAATTTTTCAGCTGTGAGAAAAACCTCGCTAAAAAGAAAAAAAAAAAAAGATTTCTGTAACCTGAACCATTAAAGCTGTTTCAACTTTCAGTGCCCCTTTTCTTTACAAATATGTTTTGTGCTTTTTTTCCTTCTTTCCAGGGACGGTATTTAACCTCAGCAGCCTGTGACTGTTGCATCCAGGCCAGAACGCTTTGTAATGTGCAACTTGGTAACTTCTTCAGCACAGGTGGGGTGAATGCCAACTGTCTTCATCATCTGAGGATATGTAGCACCACACCTACCAAAAAATTAACAACAACAACAAAAAATTACCCACAAAGTCAAACACTATTCACCAGAAGCAGCTAAAAGGTACTAAACCATCAAAATAATTCTGCTCTTGTCCATTTGATCAGGTAGAGGAGTTGCATTTGTTCTTCAAACAATGCTATCTATTATTTCTCAGGCACTTACACAACACGTAGACGCCCAGCTTCCCAACACTGAGGTAGGAAAGAATTGTCATAAGAGTTGAGACACAGAGAATTAAGCAATTTACCCTAAGTCACAACTGAGCCTGTGGCAAAAACATATGACAAAACTGCAATCTTCAGCTTTTCTTGTATATACATGTGTGTTTCACTAACTCCAGATGGAAAAAAATGCACACATACACACAGAGGAAGAAAATCTTGATTAGAACTGTTGGAAAAAATCTGCTAAAGGAAATAATACCAGGATATTCTCCCATGAACTTAAAGCCTCTGGTGCTTACACTGAACATATTAATGTTATAAGTGAGGGGGGAAAAAAACCCCATTTTATTTAAAAAAAACATAACAAGCAGACAAAACCCACCAAAACCCCCTTGTGCTACAATCCCACTTACCTAATTCCCTTACTTGTCCAGTAACATTCTTAAGATTCGATGGCTTTCTTTTGAACTGCTATTCCTGCCAGGCTATGTTGTAAGAATAGCTGAAATGGCCCTAAATTTAAGGATTATTTCAAGTTCTGTATGGAATAATGTTATATCCCTCTACAAAACACAGGAAAGGAAGCTATAGATGCCTTCTGGTGTCTCCATTTACATCTAAAAAAGCACCGACAAGCAAAAGGTCTTTGCTGACTACAGATGTTACTAGAGTGCTGGGTGGGGAGGAAAGACGAAAATTCATCTGTCAGAGAGGCTGAAGCAAGACCTAATATTTGACAAAGGAGAAGAGCAACTTTTACAATGGGGGTTCCACATTGAAAGCTCTGGATTTGTGAAATGCAATAGAAACCAATTCAGGAATCTGACCTGCTGAAAACCTCTTACTGTGGTTAAAGTTTTCATTTCCCTCAAGCAAGGCAGAAAAGCACTCCAGTTTCATGTCCTTCCTTTTCAATGGTTATTTTGGATAAAACTTCAAAACAATGACATCCTAAAAAATGTAGTTCTAGAATCCATACCACTGGCAATTAATGGGCTACAAACACATGTTGAAAATGTGTACTAAGTGTACACTGCAATCAGTGATTTCCAAGATACTCCTCACATGATACTTCCATTCCTACCTTCTTAATACTTTCTGCTTTTCATTTATAATAGTCACTCACAACTGCAGGACTAAAACTGCAGTAAAACGGTGTTGAAATTTAGGGAAATGAACTGACACCACAACTGGCAATGATTTATGATGTTCCAGACTACTTTCTTTGAAGAGGGAGTTAAAAATTATAATTTTGTAATGTAACTAGAGGAACCAGCATTTCTGAAGATGTGAATCAGCAATAAGAAGGGGAAAGGAAAAAACAAATAAGAAATAATTGTAGCACACGAAAAGCATAGCATGAATTTTCCATAACCAGAGAAGACTGAGAATCACTGCTTACTCCTTCAAATGGAGGACTTCTATATTAATATTTGAGCAAAATCTTAAACAAGATCAGATCACAAAGGATGTTTTTATTGTAATTATCAGATCGCTTCAAACAAAACTATCTTCCCTCTCCCATCATCCTATAGAAATTTCTTTTTTACTATACCATATTTAGCTAGTACCCCAGCAATATAAAAATTCAAGCAAACCTTGCTGAACATTGAAGAAGCCATGGCTGTGCAAATTTAAAGATGAGATTAGGAAAGGAAATGCTTGGCAGGTGTAAAGAAAGATTTTCCTGAAAAGCACAAATATATTTTTAAAGAAGTAAATTGCAAAACTATATGGTGATTTCCTATCCTGTGCACAGAATGCGAAAGAAGCTACACTGAAGAAACTAACATTAGTTAAGTTAATGATTAATTATCTTTTGCTTTAACTATATCAAATCAATGATATATTTTCCTCAGTTGTTCCCTAACTATATCCAGTATTACAATAACTAAATCCAGTACATCTTAATGAAGAACTGCATTATTTTTTGTGAAAATATGTGCAGTACTCCATAAAAGTAACAAAAAGCATGCATTCTTTATAGTGTTGCCAAAACTAGGCAGCTATCTTTTATAATCTAACAATAACTTAAGAAGCAGGCTTTAGAAGCTAGAGACATTCTTTTGTACTTACTTGATTCCAAGAGCAAATCCTTGAATAACTTCGCCTGCATTTGGTCCAATGAAATGGAGGCCAAGTATTCGTTGCTCCCTCTCTCGTAAGCACACCATCTGAAAACAATACATCACAAAAAGATCTTTTCTTAGAACACTTAAAGATAAGGCATGAAGTTGAATTAAATGAAACTGGAGTGCCCTAAGATCCTAGTTCAGCTGTTTATTTCCAGTATGCCAAAAACTTAGGCACTTAAGTCTTACTGACTTCAATAGGTCTTACTCTTAATGTCCTTAAGCACTTTCCTGAATTGAAGCTTTATTAGTATATTTCTTTCAGACTTGAGGGAGCCACTGACAACAATAATTTCTGGAATTGTTGTTTGCCATTTGTATGAAATCCTCAAAGTACTTTCTGTAGTCTGGTGACCAGACCAGTACTCTTTTCCACTGAGTGGCCACCTCAGCACTTCTCCAAGCCGTGCAGTTGTTTTCATCAGCTGTACTTTCACAGAAGATCACTACCATTATCAGCTGTACTTTCACAGATGACCACTACCAGTTCCAGGATATTTTGTGTCTTTGTGACTCTGTCAGTAAACACTTACAGCATGTTTGGTGAGTTACATTTACCACAAGGGGCACATAACCTAAAAAGTAGTCAAAACTCAGAAGTGCCAAAGATAAAGGTTAATAAGTATCTAAGAGAGCCTGAGTCATTGCACACTTAACTTTTATTAGAGAACTTAATGTAAATGGTTTAGTTCCTGTAAGGACGCCATCTTTAGAATGATGAAAAGAAAGTCAGTTTCTCCCTGCATCCTCCCATCAGGCATTAAATATCACTAATCTACTAAGTTTTGCTATTCAGTAAAAGCTCAGATTTTTTCATCATGAATGACAGGAACAGCAGCAATCCTGATGTGGGACTTTAAACATTAATGCATTTTAAAGGAAAAGTTTTTGTAATAGAGTTTGAAAGACTCAAGTTATATGTTTGTTTATATGTTTTGAGAGTTTAGTAAGGACTATATTAAATATCATCCAATAACTATTATGGTGTTACTACTTCATCCTTAAATATTTACTCTAATTTACATAATTAAAAGGGAATACATAAAATTGAATATCATCATCTTTGTTACTTTGGTACTTGGGACACCTAAGGCAAGCATTTACATAACTCAGAGGTGACAAAATACAATCAGAAAAACTGACTACATTTATTGACAATGGACATTCCTTACATAACAATGTAATATTATATAATATAATTGATGGACACATTTATGCAAAAAAGACTGTTCCATGATGGTGAGGAGAAAAGGAAGAAAAAGAAAACTATGATATATTCTACCAACACTACACTTTTTATTTTCTAAGATTCTCTGCTGTAGGCAAGAACATCAAAAACCTTTCCAACATTGAGCAACTAGATTGCTGCAGAAGGCCCTTTTCAGGTCTGGCACTTTGGTCTAAACCAGGAGTTTCTTTTTTTTCATGAGTAGAGACTGAATAATTACTGTAGTTTTGTAAGCCTTACACTTAATACTTAATTTTTTAAGGTATCATACTTTTGGCAAGAGGCGTCAATATAAACATTTCAGGTAACCAGTTAAGAACTTTCCTGTGAGAAAAAGAGATTGATCTCTTTAGAATATGAAATACTTTTTAGGACCTTAAAATCAGATCAAAGATGGTATTTATCAGCAAAATGCAAGTTCTGAAAAATGCTAATATCTGTAAAGCAATTTCAAGATGTCTGTCAGCAAGAAAATATCCTTGATATTTTTTTTTTCAAACAGTACTCTTTAAACTTGGCTGTACCATATCCCATTTTAAGTTAAAAGCAAGTTAAAAGCTCACAAAACTCACTTTCATATAGCATTGAGTTGCATCTCTTTCAGCCACTGTGAACTCTAAAGGTTTATAATATGCATGGTATACCTGGTAAGAAAAACAATAACATTTTGTGTCAGAGAGTACTATTATGTCAGACCTGGTATTTCTTACTACAATAACTACTATTACTAAATATTTATACCTTTGAACAAATATTGATTCATTTATAACCTGTTAGGTTTATTTAAGCTCTTAATGTGCTTCCAATATTTTTATTTAAAATAACTTTCTCAGAGAATCATTAGATTAAAAACAAAACTGAAAAAAACCTCGCAAATAATGCCAGACTAATGCACCAAATTAAAGGGAAAAAAACCTAGCATTTTTAAGCTTCTCCCAAAGTTTCAATGCCTTGTTTACTGAAAAATATGAAATCCAAGAATATTTTCATATCTATAATAATGCATCCCACAACAAAATCCAAACTGTAATATTTGTATTCTGAATAGGAAATTATTATTTTTTCATTAATGATTTTCCCTGGGTAAGTGAGCAAGAGTAACACAACATATCTTTGCAAGGGTAACTTGTAGAAAGTAACATAGCCATTATTTAATGATGCTGCACAATGTAACTTGCTAAAATGGCAGCTACTTTAAAGCTGTCATATCCTATCAGTGATTTTAAGCCCAACAGGCAACAAGTTCCCATTGTGACCTGCTGCAATACCACTGAAATGCTGAACACTTCTGGAAACACCAACTCCCTAACTGTAAACACAGTATTTTGGGGACCAAAAATTTTACCTGATACAGCAGTAAAAATTCAGGGCAACTCTGACACCAACTAGAAAATTAAAATATTTAGAAAAAGCAAAATAGAAAATTAAAAATGTTTTCATACCTCAATATTGTCTGATCCATGACGTTGCACAGCTGCTTCTTCTGACAGGCCAACACAACCATATTCCAAGGGAGTGAAGACTGTGGTAGGCACCTGCTTGGGAGGAAGCAGAAGCTGTTACTGCTGAGCCACGTGCAGCAGCTGCCTGGCAGACACTTGGACACCACTGAGAGGTGCAGCTCGGGCACACACCTCCACTTTGGCTGCTGTCAAAGCTGGATTCCAGGTGACAAAATGCAATTCCTTAAAAATTCTTTAAAAGAAAAAAAGCCAAAAATTGTTCTTACTTCAAAAAAACATAACTCACATTGTCATAGTCCATCAGTTCTGAAGACTGGCCGAAAAGACGCTGAGCCAGCAGTTTTCCTGCAGCTATTGCTGTGGGTGTTAATTCAGGACGGCCCTAAGAAGAGAGCACAAAGCTTTGTTTGAACTTAAGGAGAAGTGGCATCCAAAGATTTCTCCTGGGACAATGGCCAGAGGAAAGCCAAGTCTTTGGAATTCCAGCTTTGTAGCCAGGGCTTCAAATAGAAAAAGCAATAATAATTTCTGTCCAAACAATCATTAAAGTCTGAGTTTACTATCTGTCTTAATGGGGGGAAAATGTCACAAATATGTCAAATCTTTATATCTTACCATGGCACCTCTTGAAAAGCAGCACATATTCACATGCTGACTGTTTACTTCACCCTTTCTCTAGAGTAAGCAATGAGGAAATTTTTCAAAGTGTCTTTTTAAAGCAAGAGGAGCCTAGTTTAAAGTAACAATGTTTCTATAATATCAGACCTTAAAAAAAAAAAATTGTCTGACACATTTTCACAGAACACAGGCACAAAACATAGCTATTTGTAGATACTATTACTGACTTCCTTGGTTGGTCCTGGACTGGAAAGTGGAAAGCTCTTTTGCTAGCACTGTGACCTAAAGGGTGAGCTGGTCCTGGTCTTGGGCTCTGCTGCTACAGAGGGGCTTCAAAGGGATTGCTATTGGCAAAGGCAAACTTCCTGCAAGTGAAAAATGGAATGACAGCAGGATATGACCAGGGTGTGCTCCAGTTCAAGCCATGAGTCCTGGCTACTTTTTATATCCAAACAGGGCTGTGTATGTGCCAGAACCCTAACTGAGTGCTGGCACAGCACCGCTGGAGCATCAGAACTGCAGAGCTTGTTTTAAAGAACTTGAAAGTTTTTGAAAATTGAATTAAGGTATTTGCAAGTGAATATTTTCAAGACCAAGGAAGAACAGTCCATATAGGTTAATAAGACTAAACAAAATTCATAGATCTAATAAAAAACCCATTGGTTAAGAGATCATCCAAGACATATCATCAAAATGCTTGTCTGACATGAGAAAAGAGGTCACAAATTCAGAAGGAATGATGTGGAAACATAAGAAAGCCATAACTAAGAAACACTTTTGTGGCACAACATGGAGTGCTTTAAAAAATGTGTGAAGTTTTGATTCACACACATCCCATTTAGATGCAATATTTATCACACTCCTGCAAAGTCCTGCTTGGAGGCAGTCATTCAATAAGCTCTCACACACATTCAAAGTTTTAAACATTTTTCATGATCCTGAAGTTTTTTAGCATTTACTGGAATCCATTCCTCTTTGCCAGCTTATCTTTTTTGTATATTGGTAGACAGAATCTGTACATGGTATTAGCTACCATTTTCCTCAGTACACATACCATATTTATTATATGCATATTAATAGGCATCTAGGCTTTTATCTGTAGTAATAACCACTTAAAAGTTCAATTTTAAAAAACCGATCTGAAACATTACATCTAACATGATAAAAGAAATCACAATTCTAATTGTTAATGAAGGCTAATCTATTTTTCCTCCATAGCTCATGCCAAATCACAAAGCTGCAAGTCTATCCCTTTTGCCTTCTAACATCCCTCAAATAACAATTTTTCAAATCCAGCATTTTGACTTTCAAGTCTGTAAATGTAATTTACCAGATGAAATTTGTTTTTTCTTACACACATTTGCCTGAAACATGTCTGCCAATCATTTCTGTAGCAGGAAATATATGTTGTTTTGGCATTCCAGAAATGAATAGAAGATTGGAACGAGAGATAAAATTGTGAAAGCACTGCCATGCATTCCATAAAACCCAACTAATTACTAAAACATCCATGCAGATAAAGCCCAATTCCTCATAAACAATGACTTAAAGACCTTCCTTGGTAAATATTTGAAATGAACATTCACTTTGCAGTCATGTGTAGAACTACTCTGCTGATAATTATGGATATGAATTGTTCATAAGAATTCTCCAATGGATTATACATTTAACTAAGATGGTCCTAAGAGAGTTTAAAAAGCTTTGAAGTAATGTGTATTTGTTCTAACAACTCTTTTCGGTCTCATTTCTATTCAAAGCAACATACTGTACATTCCACTTTCTCTACACATCTTTGTTGTAACACCCTTTGAAATATGACAGATGCAGAGTGGCCTGACCATAAACCTCCTTCTGAGAAAATGTCTTTATAGTGTGTGCCATGCTTTTCAACAAGAACACTACTGGAGGAAGGATTTTAACACAAAGAGTTTGTGTCAGCACAAAAAAAAAAAAAAAAAAAAAAAAAAAAAAAAAAAATCACACTAAAATTCCATCTGGATTTTCCTGATTACAGAAGATGAAAATGCTGAAATGCAATTTCACCTGCCAGTTGAAAATAATATTTTGCCAAAATGTGAATAATGTTTTTTGAGGGTACACAAACTGACTCACATCTGGAAGATTTTTTTTTTCCCCTTTTTTTCCCAAATGAAATCTTGGGTAACATTAGGATTCCATTCTCTAAGGGGTGCAACAAGACACCCATGCACACACAGATTCCCATTTGTACCAGCTGGGTAGGGCTCCCAAGTGAAAACAATCATTCTGAGCAATCAGGAAACTCAGCTGCCCCCTTGCTCACTCCCCTTCCAGCCAGGGCACTAAATTAACATTAAAAAAAGCAGTTCTTGCTATTTGGTAGCAACTCAGTATTTATTCAGTGTGGAGTGGTAAAGGAAGGAGGAGGGCTTAGGAACTTCTTGCAAAATTTGAGCAAAAGCAGTTTATGGTAGCAAAGAAACTCTAACAGGGACAGAGCAGAGCAAAGAGAAATCCTGAGCAGGAGCACTGGAGGAAAAAAATAATTTTTATAATGATTCTTAGGGATCATTGATGTTCACTCACAGGAAACAAGATTTCCCTTCCTGTGCTCTTTTGGTAGGTCACACCCAGAAAGTATCACAACCAAGTTTTGCAGCTTTGTGGCTCTCAGCAGGATGCACTTGATTCTAATGTGTTAATTTGAGACGTGCACCAACGCAGAAATTTATTTCAGTGCTGGTTCCCATGCCAATGAAATTTATTATCCAGATTTATTCTGCTTAAAAAATAAAACAAAAAAACAAAAAAACCCACTAAACTAATTCAAGTATTCAAATAAAATAAATTTAATTGTTTAGGAAGTGGAATTACACCGGTCATGTGGTGGAGTCAGATAAGATAGTGGCAGTATTTATTTTTAGCTCCAAACACTTAAAATGTGTGAATACTATATGATGATCTCTAATTCCCTGCATTGAATCAATATGCAGATAAAAGCTTAAGGGAATATTCTACAGAGTGCCAAAATAACTTTTTCATTTTTTCCCCCAGTTATACACTGGACAAAGCATAGAACTGTGCTGCTGTTTTTAACACTTACATTTAGAAGTGTCTACTGAACCACTCAGGTTCAAAAATCTGCAATAATATGGACAAAAGCAGGAAAAGGAAATTCAAGTTTTAACAACAAAATGAAAATGACAAATAAATGAAGACATGATTTTTTAGATCCAGTGAAGGAAAGAGGAGAGCATCCTGCCTCCAACTTTATATTTCTCATTTAACTAAATCCTCAAAGGGCAGAAGACAAAAAGCACCGAAAAGGAAATAACTTGCCCAAAATAACACTGCAGATTGGCAGCAAAATAAGCAACAGATTCTAAGCCCTGCCAGCATTGCCTCTAACAACTCCTTTTTGGATGAAATTAAAAAGAAAATTTTGGAAGGCAGGAGGAAGCTAAGACATATATATCAGGGATAAGCAGGTGTAGGAGGCTGTTGTGAGCAGAAAGTGGATTTTAGGAAGTATCTGAGAGCAAGAAGTGACAAGTACAGAGGGAACCTGTATGTGAAATGAGAAGAGAGGAACTCTAGAAAATCTCAAAGCTCTGAGTGACTGGACAGGACAACTGGACAGAGAAGTTGTTTAGAGTAAGGAAAAAGAAAAAGGGAGAAATATTTGAGAAGGAAAGAATTCTAACACAATTTAAAAGGAAATGGCAAGTCCACATGAAGATGGAGACAGACAGGAAGAAACACATGTCTACACAGAGGGAAGAGGTCAGGAGTGGTCAGCAGATTTATGAGATTTAAGTGTCTCTAGCAGCTCTAGAGTCCAGTCAGAAATTTCCAAGTCTATTCCCAAGATATCATTTAATCCATTACATCTCTTCAGAAACTAAAAGCACCTGTACAGTTTATACATTTGAGAGATCTTTAAAATATTTTAAACACAGCACAATGAGAAAACTTCTAAATTTCTCTAAAATGATACTATATATACTATTCGGACATTGCCACACTATTTAGCTTTACCAGACTTGTAAGGCAGATGCCTGAACTACACAAAAAACAATCTTGATAGAAAGGCCTCGATTCCAGTAACAGTTGAGAGAACTCTGGATCTTGCAATGTCCAGCATTGCTCTGTATTCTACATATTGCCCAAATTTTCCAGGCACAGCAGGCAGATGATAACAACATCCTCCTGTAACTCTACAGTTCAGAATCCACACAAACATTGTTTATGAAATCAACATATTGGAGGATGCCCAATTTACAGCAGATAATCTGAGCTCTTACGTAAAATGAAAATTTGCAGATTGAAAGTATTTAAGTGCATATTTATCATGACAAGACATTCTTGTCATATATGACTATAGATTATCAATAGCACTAGAATAAGACCACAGAATCTGGTTTTACCTAACATGTAAATTATTTTGCTTAAGTAATAATGTCCCCTTCTTAAAAAAACCCAAAAAAACCCAAACAAAAAAGCCACACCCCTTATGTTTATTTAGCATAATCATTCACAAATCATAAAGAAAAATCATATGCATTTAGTATTTTCAGCAATTACTTTTTCTTATTCTAGAGGAAAGTACTTTCATCAGAAGCATTTTGCATTAGGGAGCTGATAAGCTGTTTTGTAATTAGTCTCAATTAACACCCAAAATACCCCAAATGCAGTCACAGAACTTGTCATGGTCATTCCCATTAAACGTACTCAGCTACAGAAGGTAAGAATTGCTTTCACTCAGCATTCACAGGCAGTATGAAGTCATATGTCAAAAGTGATACAAACATTATTAGATAATAGGAATGATAAAGACATCATTATTAGGCTCTGACCAATGATGCATTCCCTGATACACATCAGCAATAATCTCTCATGCTGAGATACTTCACAAGATCCCTGTGAAGGAAATTACTGACCCAGGTGGCTGGTATAAACACTCCAGCCCTGCCAAGTGAAAAAGTGCAAAACACTAAGATATACACTAGTGCATGACTACATCTGGGGACTAGTTATTAGTCAGGAACAAAGTTGGCTTCCTGTTATTGTAAAATAGTTTATGTAGACTCAGTACCTCTGTTATGTCTCCGACTGCATAAATGTGAGGAACAGAAGTAGCTTCATTGGCATCAACAATAATCTTTCCAGTTTCAGAGTTAGTTTTCACTCCAACTGTCTCCAAATTGAGGGTTTTGGTGTCAGGGGCTCGGCCTTAAGGAAAAAAAAAATTAAAGTAAAATATATTGGAAAACTTCATCAGCGTTAATCTAAAAAGCTGGCATCCTCCACTGTGTGTCTCCAAAAACTTTGCTCTATTTGATAGTCCAAGCAGAAATGTGAAAAAACTTATACTGAGAAAGCTGCAGGGGTGAAAAGCATGGATATGACATTCTGTGGGAAAGGAGCTCAATCACTATTGCCTTTACTTGGACATCAGAGGGTTATCCTTTTTAAATATGGAAGACAACACCCACTGGAAAAAGTGAAAAAAACATATGATTTCATATTTATTGAACATTCTAAATTCAGTTTCCTAATGTAGCACAAATAAACATATAAAAACTAAGCAACTTCTACACTGAAAATTTCCAATAAACATTAACTGAATGGCATTCAATGCCAACAGTGTTGTATATGCTTTTTTAATAAAAATTATTAATAATGCTGTTCAACATTAAACATTCCTGAAGTCCTAATTTCTTGTAATCTGAATACACTTAAAACACTTTTAATACCCTCAGCTTAGATGATAAATTTTATCAACTTTGCTCACAAGTCCAAAATGCTGATTTAGTTATCTCAAACTGTATTTGAGCTATTTCTGTACAGTTTAGAAACATTTTAAATGCATTTAAAAACAAATGAGGTTAATCCAACCAAGCCCAGATTTTATTTCAGCTTCCTATTCCAATGATATAAAATTATCTCATATTTTTAAAATATAATTTTGTAGTGTTTTCTGCAAAGTTACCCCTTAGTAAATATGAAGTCTAACTACACTGAAGTCTTAACAGCATTACACTGAGCTTTCTATAGAGTGTCTAAGGAAGCAATTCCTGACCCAGAAATTGGAATCTTAAATCCTATCCAACTTGTTTTAAAGTTAATAAGCAGAGCGAAATTATGTGTAAGTCACAGAATTTTGAAGGCTACAAAGGACCACACAGAAAAAAAAAAAATACCTGCATATATCCAAATTAAGGAAATTTTTAAACATTGTGTCTGCTTTAGAGGCTTGAAATGAATATGGATATATCTACACATACAAGTCTCCTTTGAGTCAGTCATGATTTGCATTGAATTTAATACAGAGCTATAGCAAAGCAAAACAAAAAAGGAAATGTGTTTTCATTATAAAAACAAGCTCTTTGATGTTAATGTAGGAAATTATTAAACAAAAGGAAAACCTGGCTTGTCAATACAGACCTAATTATATGTAAACATATGATTCAGTGCTTTATACATCTTCCATATAGCCAGGCCCCTCAAACAATGTCACATCTGAATGCCTCTGTAAAGACTTCTGTGTATTAATTTCATCTGGTGAAACCAACACTTCCTCTGGGAGCACTGACTGAAGCTGTCGGCACTTGGCTATCTGTCTGTCTTCCCTTCTCTTGTCCCCATGGGATGTTGATCTGCTGTTCCTTCTCTGCCCCCTGCTCCCCAGTCCTGATGCTATCAGGCAACAAAAATAATAAACCTCCAGGACCTTATCTTGGCTCGGATGTGAAACAACTTCCTACCGTTGTATTTCTTTGGGTATTGAGAGTAAAGCCTGGGTATTCTGCAAATGGACAACTAATGGGGTTTTCTAGTTTCCTCTTTTTCCTGCCAGGCAGAGCCAAGAGAAAACTTAGCACGCAACAGCAGGCATTGAAAGAGGAAAAAAAGAAAAACCGTCAATAGAGTCATTTAAAGACCTGTGACAACAACAGTTGAGTTTATCAAACCTGCAGGATAACACTTAACCTTTCCAATGCAGCCAATTTTAACATGTGCACAGCTTGGTATTAATAGCTAAGAGTTACAAAGACACATGCTGCTTTTCATAGTGAAGTTTCTCTCTCAGTTTTACTGCCTAACTATTATTTTTGAAGGCAAAACCAAAATTTTTAAGCACTGAACTGAAGCTTTATTGGCCTTTAGGCCCATGCAGGTTCACCCCCATACACAAGAATTAAACTTACTGATCTTGCTTCATCTCAAATTCAGTAGCTTGGGCTCATGATTCTATAGTGTGTCTTGGAAGGTTGTAGTGTAGAAATTCAGGGATTTCTGATGTTTCCCAACATTCACTTACTATTATAAAATCAGTTATCACAATTTCTCAGTAGGAATTTCATTTTATACCCATAACTCCTGATTTTTTCGTATTTTCAACTTCAAGAAAGTATCACTTCACAGCTTATTTCTAAGATCCCAAATCCTACCAGGCATACAAACCCACCCTTTGCCTAAAATCAGCACATGTGCTTTTAGTTTGAAGATGTCCTGAAACTGCCAAAGAACAGGAGTTCTTTGAGATCAACAAGATGCTTTATTTTTCACTGAAGAGTTCAAAGATTAAAACTTGATGGCAAGATTGTGATTGCCAAGATAAATCTAAAGCCCATTCCCTTTTCTACAGGGGCTGGCAGAGATGTGCTCATAGGAGATCACAGCAGTATTTTACCTTATGGGACATTTCACAGAAAATCTCCTAACAAAATTTCTGTTTCCCTTGTTAACCCAAATTGGTTTGGTTGTAAGCCTTGAAGAATACTATTACAAAAAATGTTACTTAACCCTCTTTTGATACCAAACAGCAAGGATCCTATTTTCCTGCACAACAAAATAAATCTGCCTAGTGTCCAGTGTGACCCAAAGGACAATGTGCTTGATAGCATATGATGTGCAACACCTGATACCTGTTCAGCTTCACAATGACCTAGAGCCACAATTCTTTTATACAGCAAAAATGATATTATTTCAAAGACTCAGTCAGGATCCTCTAAGTTTACAAATGCATTGGAACTTGAGAATGGATGTTCCACTGCCCTCATGAGGGAAAAAACTCTTTTTATAAAGCTGTCCTAAACCAAAAGCTAAACTTAAAATCTACTGCTGGTCATTGCTCTTTCTGTCACAGTTTACTAGCACCCTACCTCACATTCTCTGACAAACTAATTCCAGGCTATTTCACAAATACCTGCTTAGTTTAATCACCCATTCAGTATTGCTCCTCTGAACAGTAGGACCCCACTGGAGACAGAGTGACTTGGTTATCTTTTCTAAGGATTTTGTGAATTATCAAATTTCAGTTATAGCAGTGATATTTTGTCATGTATTGCAAACTCACATGGATCTATAACTTAACAATTCCTTTTGTATATTAGCTGTTTGCAACTGCTGCACTCCTTCCACAGGTTTCAGCCCTTCAACAGTTGAAATGAGCCCTCCCTACAAATCCTGATCTCCTGCAACTTTGTCCTGCAGCTCAGCAGTTGCATCTGCTTACAAAGGTGTCAAACTCTACTCTTTCCTTTGGATGAAGATCCCATGTTTACTCTGAACACACACACACTTACCATTGCTTTGTAACTCAGATAAACTAGGCATCTAACAAGTATTTTTTGTATGCCCTTAAGGGCAGGGAGAATACTATAGAGTAGTAAAAGTTTATTGGTTCTACATTAAACAAAAACTCAAAATCTTATAATTCCAGGAGAATTCTCTAGAAGACCAAAACAGCACTAGTAAGACAGAACAACATATAGCTGAAGTGGAAAAATCAAATAAACATCAAGAACAAGCTCTTGTACTGAGCTGGAATATAACAGTATGTAGTCCCTCAGCAAGATAGGATAGGCCCATGAGTTACCTAGAAAGCTTTGGACTGAAACTTTTAAATTACATTAAAATGTATCAAAATAAGATTTCTTTTTTTCTCCTCAAATACTTTTGAATAGTTAAAAAAAGCTGCTAGAAAAACAAAGGGAGCATTGTGCCTGCTTTTATTGGCTTATCCATACAAGCAGAAAATCACACATTACAAAAGCAAAACAAAACTTGTCATGGAAACACAATCTAATTTTCTTTTTAAAGGGTTGACATTAAGAGATAGTACTGTAGCTTATTAAACTATGGTCCACTATCAGTAACTATTTAAAAAATTATTAATAAAATCCTACTAAAATTCCATGATGCACTGGCAAAAATTATGGAAATATGTACTATAATTTAGGCTACAATTATTTAACAATAGCAGCTGCTTTTTAACCAACTCTACAAGCTGACTTGCTTCAATCAATATTATAACTGGCACATCTGCAGACAGGAAATCCTCAACACCACTAAGTTTCCCAGCCTATTATCTGAGACACCTGGTGTGGGTGTTGATACAGAGCAAAACAATGAATCATATGGACTGCACACCAATTAACCAGCTTTAACTGTTAATGTGTTTAATCCTTAAGGGTGGAGTGCCAATTTGAACACTAAAAAAAGTCAACACAAAATCCTGACACTATTCATTTTGCTGTTTCTAAATATGGATTGTAACTCAAATCTATGACAAATTATAAAACATGTAGCTCTGTACTGAAATAGTGAGCAGACTCATGTTACAACTGAATTGTAACAGTCTATCATGCAACCTTATTCCATTATAATTAACAGAAACCAAGATTTTTTTCTTATTTTTCAACTTAATAGCTCTTTTTTCCATCTTAGACAAAAGTAAACAAATTGACTTGACATTTGACATGTGTGTCTCCAACTCAGTGTACTTTTCATAGAACCACAGAATGGGTTGGGTTTTTTACCAGAAAGCTTTAGAAAAATCAAATACAGCACTCAGAAACCCACTTTTTGGAAACATTTTCATCTCACCTCATGAATATTACTCTACAGTTTTCAGGATTGTTATGTGTCCATATAGCATGAGCTTTTTTTTGCTCTTGGCAAGCACTAGTCTGTTTGATTGGTTCTGATGAGAATAATCCATTATTACAGGCTGTTTCCACAATTTGTAGAGCCCAAGGCACTTCTAAGAGAGTAGTAGTTACAGTAAGGAAAATAAAACATTTGTCACAATGCACAACCTGTTTGGGGTATTAGGAAGATATAAAGCTAACTTAACCAGGTAAATGGAACAACTGGACAGTAGATTAAGTCCACTGGGCAAAATACGAAATGCTATAAATGATCTGTTTCTGATCCTGTAATGGATCTATTCTACAACCACAAGAATTTAAATTTATGTTATAAATAAATGAAAGAGCAATACATTCCCACTACTCTAAAACAGAAGTGCCGGATAAAAAGAATATAAAGTAGTCAAGGGGATTGCTAAAGCTCCTAGTAAAACTGATTATTTGTCTGCATCAAAACAGATTTCTTGGGCAGTATGTTTAAGCCTATTTACTTTTTTGCCAGATATCATGTGCCTGCCAAATACCACTACTACCTTTAGCCATGCATTATTGATCTAGAATTCCAGATAGTCACAAAGTTTTATAAGCACTAAAGGCAAAAGTCTCCTACTCTGGTGGGCTCACAGCCCATCTGAACCAATATAGAAACTGAGGACAGACTTGTAACAGCGACAAATGAGCAGCTTAGGGAGGCAACGCTGAAGGAGTATTTTCATTCCTGTGGGCTGGAACCTTGTACATAATTTAGTGTGTTAGTCCTTGCAGGAAGTAGCATTTTTCTCAAAGGAGGAAAACCCCAGATTTGATTCCCATTTCTGGTGATTATGCTTACAGACATTTATCACAGTATTCTTTTAAACCAATTTACTCTTAGTTGTTGTATATCAGCTCCAAGGGGTCTGAGATATGTGAAAGTCCCTAACCAGATTTCAAAAAGCTATACACTTGCAAGGTTCCCTGCAAGAGCCTGGATTTTTAGAGACAGTTACTTCTCTTTCTCAAAATTGGATGACGGCTGCAGTAACAAACTTAAGCAGCACAGTTTAGAAAAAAATCCTAGAAGAAATGGTAGCCTCTTAAACAGGATAAATATGCACTTGATTGATTCATGAATAGCTTCATGAATCAATCAGGAGTATGGACTTTGAGAAGAATACCTGCCAACCAGAGCTTGCTGGAATTCATATTCTTTCTCTAGTAAAAGTGAGAAAGACTAGATGGTCTCCCATTTATTGCAGCTCATGCAAAAATAGTTACCACAGACTTCTTCCATTCACTGTAATTGTGTTTTTAGACTGTAAATGAACAAGTCAGGCATGCAAGAAAAGAATTAAACAACTATCAATGTTTAAGTCACTAAACATTTAAGGGGGAGGGGGCATTGTTTGACCCGATGCTGATGTACTTCACATTCAGAACGGAAAACATTGCAAAGAAATGTTAAGATAATCATATTTACCTACTGCCCACATAACGGTGTTGAAAGAATCGGTTTCTTCTGTGTCCAGGTCAGCATTTTTCCAAGTGACTTGCAATCTGTCATTCTCCAATTTTTCAACTTTAGTTGGGAAACATCTCTTTAAAAATTTTGTGCCATAAGATTCCATGTGCTCAGTTACTAAAGAAGCCATTTGCTGTTGAGTAGTGAAACAAATTTGTTTTTTCTTATATACATGAGCTTTTTAATGCAAACCCCTCCTTCAGCTGGGTTCAGGAAACCCCAGCAAATACCTTGTGCATTTCAAACATTCTTTATCACTTAGCTACTATGCACTGCTAACACATGGCAATTTAGGGAGCAACTCCATTCCAAGAGGCATTACACCTGAATACTCAAATTATTTTCAAAAAATTATAACAGTATATTAATAAAATGGTTGCTTTTTAAGAATTTGTTTTACACAATCAAGAGCATATTCAATTTACCATTACCATAATTACAACTTTCTAGTAGTTTGATAAAAATTAAATACTTGCATAAAACAATGGGAGAAATATATTTCCTTTTGCTATAACATTTGACATTTCTCTGCAATGACTACAAATCACTAAGGTTTGATGCAAAGTTCTAATAGGAAAAAAAAACAAACAACACTTTTGTCCTAAGAGCCTGTTTGAAATAGCACCACACCACACTGAAGTAGTAAAATGTGGCATCACCAGGTTTATCCAAAGACATCAGTGCTCTTGACTGCAGGAACTCAGGTTGCACCTTGCCAGAGCATGTTTATTACTTAAAGGATATTATTACAAAACCACTCACATAGAACAACTCCACACAAGTTCTCTCAGCTTACAAAACTTTATTTTCAAAGTTGATATTAACTAATATGAAGGCAACAGCAGAGCTATGTCTCTTCAGAAACATGAGAGCTCATTAATCAGTTTCCATCAGACTTAATGTGGCTGCAGACTGAACATAATTATTTTATCTCCATTAATACTTTATTAACTTTGGTATGGCCATTGTGCTCTTCCTGCCTACACAGGATCAAGTTCTCAGAGCAAGCCCTACTGTAAGTGCTTGACCAACTGCTATACACACACTATTCCATGCTTGCTCAGACCTCATGCTGTTACAGGTGTGGATTTCTTCAATGAGGAGTGTAAATCCCAAGAATTATTATTATTCAATGTTTTGCATACTCATGCCACCACTTTTAAGGCATACAAGCCACTAGTTTTAAGGAAGTCACTCCAGGTTGGGAGAGGGTGACATACAACCAGGAGCTGTCACTAATGGCACTACCATGGGTGGTGTTTGTCACTGCCACTTAAGCAATAATACTCCCACCTCAAAAACTGTGCACATATTAGGAAATGTTTGGAGATGCAAACAACACTTTTTCTTTAGGAGATAAAAATAATAAAATCTATCTTTTAAATAATTTGCTAGATAGTGAGATGTAAGATACTCTGTACTTGCCTGATCAAACCCACGAAGTGGGATACTTCTCATCATGACTGTAGTGTCCAATCCAATGCCTGTTAGAAAACCAGCACACTCAAGGGAAACATCTGGTGACACACCAGTTAAGCAAACATAAACAACAATTTTGATAAACACAATAAATTAGTAGTATACAAGTGGGCTTTTCACTTGGAGATACCAAGTTCTCCTCACACAGATATCTTTAGCTTGCTTTTGTACATAGAATAAAACTTGGAAGTCTTATAGTTAACACTGGATTTAAGATCCTGAGAATTTATGCTCAGCTGATCTTAATTTCCATGATGGTACTGCCCAGAAAACGATTACTATTCTCTTACCAACATGACATGAGCAGAGGAATTTCTGAAACCTGAACTTTCATAGGAAAGACAGCTATGCTAGTTATAATCATGGATCATCACAGGCCTTTCAAAGGATACAGCTGGCTCCAACAACCAACCTGTTACAGAAGAAAAGAAGAAAGCAGTGGAATGAGCTTATGCATATTTTTGCACAAACAGAAAAAAAAAATTTGATGTGTGTGTCACATTTGCCAACTTCCAGACAGCTGGGACCCCCGAGTTAGCCAGGACTACTGGTAAACGATGGAGGGTGGCTCAGTTAGGTCTTCCATCAGCTCCCTCAGCACCCTGCGCTGGATCCCATCCAGTACCTTAGACTTGTGGATGTCCAAGTGCTGTAGCTGGTTTCTAACCAAGTCCTCATGATTTATGGGGGCTTCATTCTGTTCCCTGTCCCCATCTTTCAGCTCAGGGATTGGGTGCCCACAAAACAACTGCTCTTACTATTATGGACTGAGGCAAAGACAGCATTAAGTAACTCAGCCTTTTCCTTATCCTTATTACTGTGCTTCTCCCCCCTCACAGCCCAAAAAGGATGGGGATTCTCCTGAGCCCTCCTTTTGTTGCTACTATATTTATAGAAGCATTTTTATTGCCTTTTACAGCAGTAGCCAGATTAAGTTCTAATTGGGCTTTGGCCCCTCTAATTTTCTCCCTGCACAACCTTATGGCATCCCTGTGGTTCTCTCTCTTCTCCCAGGGGCATAGGCACTCTTTTTTTTCCCTGAGTTCCAGCCAAAACTCTCTATTCAATCAAGCCAATCTTCTTCCCTGACAGCTCATCTTTCAGCACATGGGGATGGTCTATCAATTAGATTATGTCTTCCTATCAAGTAGATTACAGTTCCCAATGAAGATTTTATTAATTGCTAAATTTCATTTTGATTTATAACCATCTGCTTTTTAATTGTTGTATTTTTCCAAATGCCAAATATTTGCCCTTCCTGTCTTCAAATATTTGTGTACGATAAAAATGTGTTTAATAGATTTACTTAAGACTGTTATTTACAAAATATATCCATTTTAGTGCTTAAATAAAACCCCAGCTACCACCTCTCCCAATATTTCACACCCTTTCAATCAAGAATATAATTGAAATTGTCCATCAACACTTGCAATTTATGAGGTGTATCAGCTCTCCAGCACAGGAGTTTCCATCTCTATCCCCAGTTGATCCCTACACTGCAGCAGTTCCTCTCTCCTGACCACATTCTCAGTTCCCTGCATTTGCTGGATACAACAGGCAGAATGCCCAATCCCTGTTCTGATGGTAAAAGCAGCTCCAGCCAGGCAGCCTTTAACACTCAGGCTACACTTGCACTCCTTTGCTGTTTATGTCTTATACAGACTTGTTAAAATCTCACAGTTTGGAGATGACAACCCACACAGTATTTCCACTGACAAAAAAATATTTTGTTAGGTTTTTGAATGGGCTTGTGGCCTATGCCTTACCCTAAACCAATCTGCAGCATCTCCAGTTCTAACGCAATGCTTTTAAACTTCTGAGGAGTGCAGACATGGAGGCTGCAGCTCTGTAAGCCCCAGGGACTGCACAGTCAGTACAACACATGTTTTCTTACAAAAGACTCCAGATAACATCTGCTATCTTACAATAAAAACACACAACTTCTGAAGGTATACAGAGAATAGGTTGAGTAGAAGCGATTAAAATCTGCTAGTCTGAGCTTTATGCTTGGCAAATAATTTAACATAATGGGAAATAATTTTTCCAGCATTAGGGCATCTGATTCATCTGTGAATGAATGATCACACCCTCATTAGCATGCAGCTCCTGGGAAGTGCTGCAAAAAGCCATATACTGCCCATAAAGAAATATCTACTGGAGATTCACAGGGAAAAGAATGAGAATTTCAGTAATTTGGGCATATATTTGCTCTTCTTTTTCATTAGGTGAAAAATAGATGTCAGCTGGCACTTATTCATAGCATCAGCCTCACATTATTCACACTTTATTGTACAAAAACAGGAGGTTCCTGGGCATTGTCAGTATCTAAAAGAAAAGTTAGGAAAGCAGAACATATCCTTATTCACACCTGCTCAGTTTCTTACTCATTCACAACACATTTCAAGGCATCTCTTCTAATTCACTCTGCCAAAACCCTTCATCTCAGGAGTGAGTTTTTTTCCCCATATTTGTATATCCATGATGGGACTTTTAAGTTGGTTAATGGTTTACTTTAAAAAAAAAAAACAAACAAAAAAAACTGCAGGACTGACAGTTCTATAACCTCCAGGCATGTAATTTGTAGCTGAGATATTCTTTCTTTTCTTCCTCTCCAAATGTACATAACTACAACACAGCTCAGACTGAAAACAAAAGGTGTTAAACTGAACCTTGGGAATATTTATAACAGAAACAAACCTTTAACAACTCCCTCCTTCATTTGCTAAGGAACAGCCTGATAAAGCACAGAAATGCTACTGTAGCCCCTGCAGGCTTATTTTGACTAAATCTCAGGAATGCAACATATAAACACTCGACTCCCACATTACACTGTTACAACTTGCATTAGCAGCAACTGACAAGAGCCACATTTTCACAGAAACATCTTACAAGGATAAATCTTATATTTTGGTTTTTGCAGGGGTGGAGTGGGTGTTGCTTTTCTTAAAAACAATTTCCTTGCATAAATCATGCCTTCAAAATTCAAGAGGTGACTGATACACTACAAACAACAAAAAATTTACTTTCTTTCTAAAACTGTACTAAGAAGCCTCATTTGTCCATTTAAAGTTTAGTTTAATGCAGTGCATTTTTTATAGCAGAAAGTCACTGCCATGAATGGCAACTATGTTTTTTGCACAAACATCAGTATTATAGCTCGAAGTCTCTTTTGCTTTTTTTAGAAGACAGCACTATCTGACTTTCAGACTAGCAAATCTGCATCTCCTATCACAATTATCTTCATCAGGAAATTGCTCCGTAGCGCCGTTTTGACTCAGAATCTTACTGTGCTATGTGCTGTAAAAAATAACTGTGGAATTTTAGTATTTCCATCAAAACCAGTGTTTCAACATTTCAGTTAAACAATAGCTTCCAAAGCAAAAGTAACCCAAATCTCTCTTCATATTTTCTTTTGTTATCACAACTGCCACAGCTTAGGAGAACACAAAATTATGTTGGAGCTTCTCCCCTAATCGAGGGACAGGGACTGAGCTGTCCCCAGGTGAGTTCATGCTGCCCTCTTGTGACTTAGGGTGTAATCGCTACAGCAAAACCCAACACGGTGAAAAGGTGTATTTAATTTGATCTTAGAAGGGAATTTCATAAGAGTAAGAGGGGAAGATCTACCAGTTACTTAATGACGTTTGGTAGTATGATATTGTTGCATCACAAAGTACATTTTTAGAAGGAAAACGGAAGAAGAATTGGTGTAAAAAAGGTAATTTTGAACATTTTTAACCTTGTCATATAGAAAAGGTAGGAATGACAGCATCAACTACAGCTGTGGTAAGGTAACTTACGTTTTTCCAGGAGATTTCTTTAACCAGAAGAGATCATCACTTGTGATTCCATACTCCAGTGCACCTGCAACCTATGATCACACAGGTGAATTTACAATGCAAATACTGTCAGCAATAAAAGCTCATAGTAATTTTGGGCTGTGTTAGGTGAAGTACAGACCAATGGGAATATATCTGGGCCTGCCAACTTCCAACCTGAATTATCCTATAGCTCTAACAAACACCAACATACTGAACCAGAGCAAATTGTTGTCTATGGAAATGTTTTTTTAAAAAGCCATGCTTTATATAAAGACTTTTTTTTTTTGTGTGACACAAGTACAAAAATCTCTCATATGTTGCTTTATTTTTACATTCTTTATCCTCCTTCACTGTGTTCTGCATCTCAGCAAAGCAGTGGAGTTGTCAAATGGAAGGGTAACTTACATGCATAGGGTATTTTGGTCTTCCTCCAGTAGCAATGACAATATTATCTGCAGTAACAACAATCTACAAACAAAAATGAAAAAACAAAATCAAGCATTTGCAATCCTTTTATCCGTCTTTGGATTTCATCTATGTACAAATGAGTGATCAGTGAGAAACCTGGCTCTACTATCTGCTGTTTATGTGACATAACAATCAGCAATGCATTAAAAAAAGGATGGAGATAAACTAATACCTGCAGAAGTTCTCCTACTTATTCTCTACTAGGTTTTATTTTAATATTAACCATGAAACTGTTCTTACACTGCACAAGAGTCTGCTGACTACTTGGAAGCAATAGTTATGCACAAACAACACTATTAAAATAAATTTCTTGTCAGGAGAAAACACACAGAGATCACAGCAGTAAATTCTGTCTCAGGCCTGGAGTTAAGCTACCTCAAAAGGAGAATGTTTCTACAAAATCCCAGACACCTACCCCCAGGAACTTGCTATTCAAGCTGATATTAATCAGTAACATTAAACAATTACCTTCAGAAAGGTGTTAAAAAGGCACATTCAGGCCTTGTTAAATACACAGAATGGCCACCATTCTGTTATATGCCCCAGCTGTGCATTCACATTAATTGCCTCCCACACACAATTTGGTACTACCGAGTTAATCACCCCTACAAATCACCTGAAGGAGGGAAACAGCTCAGAGAAACCTAATTCTCAGAACTTACATTTCTGTAAGCATCAGCATGACTGACCAAATCAAACAAAAATCTTTTGTCTCAGCATTTCCACCCGCACAAAAAAGCAATAGCATCTAACAGACCAGACTAGGGACTCAGCAGGCACCAGTCAAGTTCATAAACAACTTCTCTAAGTGGAAAATGCAAATCTCCCTCACTAAAACAATACTCAATACCTCAAGCAATTTTGCAAAAGGACAATCTAGCTCCCAAATGACCTGAAGTGTTCAAAGTGAACAACACTGCAGAAATCAGCACAGCAGCTCACCTCTTTACCTGCTTTTGTTAAACCACGGACTGTATGTGGATCAGAAAAACTTCCTTTTATGTTGAAATATTTCACCTTCCTGTTTAGAAGAACACAAGAATAGGCATGAAACACAATCAGCTACCTTTTCTGTATTTAAGTACTAAAAAGGGTAGCAAACAGGCATAGAGCAGTAAAAGGAAGGAATCTCATTTCTCAGGACTGTTTGCAGCTCTATCATAATTTGTCACTTAATTCTTGTGTCACACTTAACTCCTCTATACAGGAAAGTAACTAACCTAGTAAGAAACTTTGAGATCAAACTTTGAGAGGTTATTGACCTCTTCAAAAAATATATTTTCTGTTAGCCATAGCATTACTAGTATTATCTATAGCATGTAGGATACCATGCTCATTTGAGAACACACCAAAGTGACTCAGCAGAGTAACAAGACTAGAATTTGTTAAATTTTCTATTGTAATTTCTCTATAACAGGAACTACATGCTGAAAAACCAAAAACCATTTCTGCACTGAAAGCAAAAAAAAAAAAAAAATCTGCTGCTCTAGCATAGTTTTAGCTGTGGGTTTGTATGGTATAGAAATTTTGGGGGACAAGATCAAAAGTATCTTAAGAAACCTTGACTGCTTCATACTAATGCAAAACCTCTCCAGACTAAAGAGAGCATCACTACACTGCTAGAAAGCTTTTGTGTATGGTCAGTGTCAACCACTATTCCACCAAAAGGAAAATGGGAGAGGAAGAGACCACTTACAGACCCCAGAAGAAAGGACTTACAGACTGAAAATATTAGCTCTAGATAGAAACTTCAAAGGGAATTCTGCAGTTCTACAAGGGCAAGTGCACCTCCTTGACTGTGGGAAGAAAGACAAACTTCAAAGTCTTATTTACTTTTCTTGTAGTTGCACTCTGTGTCCCCAGTTCAAGGATTTCACATAATTCTGAACACCTTGTGCCATCACAGACCTGTCACAAAACAAGAAACTGAACATGAAGTCATCATATTGCAAATTCAGGTTATGCAACACAAAGATACAGGCAACTGCTAAAAATGAGTAATGAACCACAGTATTTTTTGTTATAAAAGCAAATTATCAAGTCCAAATCAACATAATTTCTGCCCTGACAAACCAATAACTAATTCTGTTTTTTAACAAGTACCAGGCTAAAATTTCACATACAAAATTGACTTCCCTAAATAATAAACACCATAATAAGCACCAACTGGGAAATAAGGTTATTGTTATGCATTTGCAGCACATAGGAGTGGAGATAGGCAACAGTCTTTACCAGGTATGATGAACAGGTTGGGATATATTCCAGCCATAGTGTTGGGCATCTTTAATGGCACTCCCTAAAAGGGCTGCTTGATGCATAAGCTTTTTAGGAATGCAGCCAACATTGACACAAGTTCCACCAAGTCCCCATCCAGTTCCTTGGGAAAAAAAAAAAAAAAAGAAAAATGCATTAGATTAGTGTAACAATGCAGTTGGGACCATGGGAAGTAAAAAGTTCTGTAACAAAACAGTTTACTGTCTCCTACAGATCAGTTTGTAACTTTCTTTGTGCTCATTTGTTTGATATAACCACATCTCTATATTTTTCTTCTAAAATGCAAACCATCTCAAGATTTTTCTCAGAGCTCAGAACATTCAGTAACTAAACATTCACGTTCGCAGATCTCATTTTGTGCATTGTCTACAAAGAGGCTCAGCATGACACAATCAGTAATTTTTAGAAATTGTAAATAACATTTTGACAGAGGGAATATTCTCATTTCTTTAAGTTCTAAGTCTACTATAAATGGTAGCATCAAGCACTGCTAACAAGCTTAATGTGCAGGGGAGCAGGCACAGCTGGTTCATCTCGGAGAGAATGAGCCATGGCACAAGCTGGGCTTAAGGACTTTTACTCCAAGCAAAACAGGCAGTGTGGCTTTGGACACTGCTGTCTGGAGCAACCTGCTCACCTGAGCAGCTGAATTATATGCATTTCTAATTATTACTCTGTTATTTCTCTTCCATACCTTGTGGGGAAGGTTCAACATAATCCAGAACAGCCACTTTTCTTCCAAACTGAGCAGCTTTAAACAAAGAAGTAAGGTTAGGTATTTAGAGGAAGGAGACATACACAAATAAATATTTTTAGTAGCACAGATATAGATAAAGTACAGGAGATGACAGCTGGTGTTTTTTCTGTCTAACTCAAGATAGCAGACCAGAGACCTAATCTGCCTATGTAGTCAGCAAATTCTCTGAAAGATGCTTAATAACCCAGACTGGGGCCTCCAGCTTCCACTGACCCTAAAAAAGCAATTTGACCTCAAATGAGATGTTTAAGAACACTGTGGGTTGTTGAACATACTACTCTGAGATACAAAGGGGGCAAAGTTCTCTACAGCAGTTAGTTCTTGGAAACAGTCTGATGGGATTGTTGTTTTAACACATAAATGAGAATGGTATTTTAAAAATTTAGTATCTATGGAGGTACTCTGAACATTTTTACAACAGTGAAATGAAAGCTTATTAGTTTTTTCCCATGACAAAAGAAGAAATGTTTTTTAAATGTTAAGAGGAAAGCCAAATAAGATCACACCACCTTAGTGTGTGAATCAATTTGCAGATTAACCATATGGAGCTAAGTTAATGATTAATGTGCAGGTACTGAACATACCATGCTTCTTAATAAGCTTTATGATTATCAGTAACACTTCCCTTAGTTTCCTTACACCCCACTGAAGTTAAACCAAAATTTCTGTTATTTATGCATACAAACCTTCTTTTGCACAAGCAAGGCCTCCAGACCCTCCACCAATGACCAGAAGATCATACTCATTCTTTCCTGTGAAGGGGACGTGAAAAAAAGAAGGAATAGAAACAGACCAGGAAGATGGGAGAGGTATGTAAGAAGGACAGCATTCAGAGTACACCTATTTTTACAAATTATTATTGTTGATTTGGGTTTTCCTCACTTTAGCGCTGTGGTTTGCTATCTACTCTGGCTTTGTGAATGAAATACAGAAAATAAAGCACTTCAAACGAAGTGAGAAAATAGATTGAATTTTTACATAATGACCCAAGAGGCTCATAATTAACGCAACCGAGATCCAGGTCTCTGTCTCGGAATTACAGCAGCAAGGTCTACGCAGATATTTTTCCGCGGGGTCGCCTGACCGGACTCGGAGCTTTACACGCCGTGTGTGCGCTGCCGGGCAGAGGGGAGCCGGCCCTGCCGCCCCGGCCACCGCACAGAGGCGGCGGCAGCAGCCGCGGGGAGCGATGACTCCTTCCAGTGAGGGTAAGTAAGGGTCGCTGCTGCTTTCGGAGCCGTCCCGGGCACGGCGGGCACCGAGCCCGGGCGGGGAGGCTCGCCCTGGAATTGCCCAGCGGGCTGGGAGGGCCGCCACCCTTTGGCGCTAATGCTGCGGGAAAGGTTTCCTGCCTCTGGGGCAGCCCCAGCCCCACGGCGGAGCCCCCACCCCGCTGCACCGTCCTCTGAACCTGGGGGTCCCTCAGCGCCCAGGGGCCGAGGGACGGGCCCCGCAGGAGCACCGGGCGCGGCGGTGGCCGCCAGAGCCCTCACGGATGGAGGCGGCCGCCGCCTCGGAGTACAGCGCAAGGCGGCGCGGTCGCCAAAGCACCGCTCTAGTCTGTGATCTGCGGGTGATGGAAAGGCTTTGGGGATCTTCCCCGGGCGCTTCGGGCGTCGGAAGGCGCGGGCAGCCGCTTCACGCGGGGAGCGGCCAATGCGCGGCCGCTGCCGGGCCCGAGCCCCGCGGGTACCGCGTACCTGAGAGCGCTCGGAGCGTACGGCACAGCCCCGACACTGCCGGGGGACGCGGCCGCCGCCACAGCGCCGCCATGCTGTACGGCACAGGGCCCCGCGCCCGCCAGGACCCTGCGGGCTGGCCGCGCAGCGCCTGAGCGGAGGGCGGCGGGCCCAGGCGGGATCCCGCGCGGGAGCCGCGTGAGGGGAGCGCTCGGCCCGGAGCCCTCAGGGGCTGCAGGCGGCGGGCGCAGCGCGCAGACTCTGGCGAATCGCACACGCCGGCACGGAGTCGTGAGGGTTGGAAATGACCTCTAGAGACCTCCCAGTCCAGCCCCCTGTACAAAGCAGGGCCACCTGGAGCAGGTGGAATGGTGGTTTGGAATGTCTCCAGAGAGGAGGACAGCGCGACCTCCCTGGGCAGCTGCTCCAGTGCTCTGCCACCGCCAACATAAAGTTGTTCCTCATGTTGAGGTCGTGTATTTTAGTTTATAGCTATTGCTTCTCACCCTGTCATATCATTAATGAGATTCCCTTTCAGTCTTCTCCTCAGACTAAAGTGGTCCAGCTCCCACAGTCTCCTCATAAGAGATGCTCCAACCCCCTCATCATCTTCATGGCCTCTGCTGGACCCTCTTCAATAGCTCCTTGTCTTTTTATACTGAAGAACCCAGAATTGGACGCAATATTCCAGTTCTGGGCTCCTCGGTTAAATTTGTGTGAAAATTAGACATTTGGAAGGAAGAAAAATCCCACAGTTTGCTTGTCTGGCTTCCCTCCAGATCCTGCTGTAGAAAGGGCTCAGGGAAGGCCTTTTGGGAAAGACAAGGAACATGATTACTGCCCAAAACGTTCCCTGATACCCAAGACCTGTCCTGTCCCCTCTGAACCAGCCATCCCTCTGTAGCAGATGTGGCAAAAAGAGCTGCCACAGCCGCTCCTCAGGTGCAGGGCACTGGCTGAGAGAAACCTCTGAGGAGGTTTGAACAAAGCACCTTCCATGAGGTGTTGGAGGTTACACACTGTGTTGCTCCCTGTTCCTGTGACACATTCAGGATTGTGAGCAGGACTCAGGTCTGCCAAAAGAGGTTCCTCTGCTGGAATGCTGGAGTGGGGCCCAAGTGATGTGGGTCAGTGACCCTGATCTGCACCAACAGCTTGCACACCTGGCTGGGCTGTGGTGGGACAGATACCTGCTCAGGACCTCTCAGTGCCTCCAGTGCCTCAGCCTCCAGCAGCATTCCCTATCCCTGTGCCACATGCCTGCTATTGACCTGTCCTGAACGGGAGCTGTCAGAGTTAATAACGCCTGTGATGTGTTCTGACAGCCTGAGGTAAAAGGCCTCAAAGCTGCATTGATCAAAACAAATCAAGGAACGAGTTTTCCTTGTTCAGAGGTGCTGGCTTGGCCTTTACTGAAGCTCAGTACTTCCCCTGCCCGCTGCCCTAGGTAGTCGGTCATATTTGTTAAGTGCCACCACAGCCAAAAGCAGAGTTTGGGACAAGAGAATCGCATGTTTTTCTATAGGAAAATAAAAGGGTTTTAGGCAGTCGTGGTTCAGGCTTTGGAGCAGGGGCCCCGCTCACAAGGGGGCAGCATCCAACCATTTTGTTTCAGAAAACATCAATTCTCTGGTCGACAGCTGAGGAGAAATGGTAGGAAATTAAAAATACTCCAAAGAAAGTTTTACAGAATTCACTTCACCTCCAGTGTAGTCTCATTCTTTTCCATCAAGTTAATGTTTGAAAATACATTTTAAAAGCCAGGAATTATTATCACTTTTGTAAGTGGATTGATGACTTTTTTCCAGCATCATTGCTATTAAACCTCCCTCCCCACAAAATACCAAAGGCAAACCCCCTGTTGTCACTAGAAGCACTGTTACTCACTGCAACAGCAGTAGAAAGAAATGACTGGAGCATACTGAGGGGTCTTTGAATTAAAGAAACCTTGAGAATATTCAGATACAATCTTTTATGCTTTTCAAGGTGCACACATGCAAAGTTATTTCAGCTTTTCATGTGAGCCACTATTCTGAGTTGAATCAGGCAGTGTTACACAGACTTAGTTCAGACATGTAGGCTCAAGGGTAGAATGAACTCTCCCCAAACACAACACAAGTTGATGTGAGGAGTTGTCCTTGCAGCATTATGGTGTTCTGCTAATAAGGAAAGGCCTTAAATGTGGCAAAGTGAAACAAAACTGAACCAGATTAAAGGAAGGTGGGTGTCAGTATCTTCTGCTGTGTCTCAAGTGAAAGCATGAGAGGAAATGACCTTGAAACGCTAAGGGAGGTTCAGATTAGAAGGTACAGCTGGTGCTGTGCCACTGTGTGAGCATGTGATGCTGGGGTGTGCCCAGCCCTGTGGCTGTATCCCACAGCTCAGGATAAAGCACAGTGCAGTTCCACAGGCTTCCCAGCAGGACCGCCAGCTTCAGGAGGAAGTCCAAAATCTGTGCTGTGCCATTCCACTTGCTCTTGCTCATCCTCACAGGCTTGATCCTCAAGAGTGATAGAGACAAACAGCAGCAACAAGGAGTGGGTTGTGCTGATGGTGACAGTATCAGTAAGACCAGCAGTCCCTGGTATTTCCTTCTGTCAGCACTGAGTAGGTGTGTCTGTGCTGCACTTCAAAACTCTTTTTCATGGACAGGAGACAGATAATGGTTATCAAATGTGCTTTCTACTGTATCTGTGGCTCAGCTCATATGGCTTTCTACTCTTAATTTAATTATTTTGTGGTTAGCATTATGTTGATTAGATAATTAGTGATACACATTTATATATATAATATATATATTATATATAATATAATATAATATAATATATACTATATAATATATACTATATAATATATACTATATAATAAATATATAATATATAATATATAATATATAATATATAATATATAATATATAATATATAATATATAATATATCTTAATTTCTTTTAAGAAAACAAGTATTAAGTCCTTTAGCAGCAAATACATGATATTATCAGGAATCATTTAGATAAAGCCTTGTGTTTCTGCAGTGAAAGCATATACTTCCAAAACTGGGATTAAAAAAACTTCTTCCAAGATAGTTATCAGATTTAACAACATATTTCCACTGAATTTTGTTAGTTGTAGCTTGGCATATTTGAAGTCATAAATAAATTTGTACTCTAGTTGTGGTTTGGTTTATTTCCAGGTGGAGATGTTTATTCAATATACTTTAAAGAGTGTGGTATTCAAAGGGTAAAGGAGACACCCGGTACCGGAAGTGTACACAAATCCATTCAACAAAAAAGGTGCTTTGTAAGTCATGAATTGATTTTGTTAGCAGGCAACTTTCTCCCTTTGAATTTATTTTAAAGACAGCTTGCAATTCTGTATGTTGTTTCCTTTGTAGCAAATACATTTTATTACATTTATCAATGGCTTGCTTAAATTCTCCCTCATGAAGATGACCAGGACTAAATACTTTTTCTACCAAATCTTTTAAAATTTTTCACTTTTCAAGTGCATCTTCTTGTCTTTCCTGTTTTTCTGGCATAGTTTCCTTCATGTCTTACATTCCCGGATCAGCAGCCAGGGAGGGTGGGGGGAAGAAGAGAGGTGTCAGGTAGATATTGACTTTGGAAGTCATCACTTCGTGTCCTTTTTAGTGGGTGGGGTGGAAAATCGATTCTCTCAAAGGTTGCATTTTGTGGTGTGACCTAATGAATAATTTACAAAAGTGTCAATGAACTCTACTGGGTCACTGGTTGAACTAAGTTGTCTCCGCTTGAGGTAGGACCTTTTGGTTTATTACCATCTCTCTCTTTTAAAGATTATTCAAGAAAATTATTTTCATAAATTTGTCTCAGAATATGATTAGTTCAGAATTTAATCTATGCCTTTTTATTTGTTCCTTCCTTCCTTAACATAGATCTTCTGTTCATAGTTTGTACTGAACAAGTAATTGATTGCAAGTAAGGGAAAAAAACAGCGAAAACAGATGAAGCTTGAAGTAACAGAAGTTCTTGGCTTCATTCAAATGCTTCAGCACATATTGCCAAAAAACGTGAGGGTAGAAAATAGATAAATGTGGTAGACTTAACTGCTTCAGCATTTTTGTGACAAGTTATAAAGTCTTTGAAAGCTGAAAGGTTTTTTCTATCTTCTTGATAACCTTTTAAGAGGCACTGTAAACACAAAATAGTCTGTGTTAACTGTTCAAATTTAGAGTACAACTTTGCTGGCCACCTTTCTTCTCTTTTAGCTGTTTCCTGTTTTAGATATTGGCAGGCAGTTTCCTGATTCAGACATGAGTGGTGCTTCCTTTCTTCAAAATTCCTCCTTTGCATGTTTCTCAGCAAGACAGACTAATTTGACCGTGGAAAACAGCGAATTCCCATAAAAGAAAATCCCTCCTGCTATTCTGAAAATGCAAGCTCAAAAGAATTTTCTTCCACTCAGTGTTTCACATGATCTGCGGGATTTATGATAATGTGTAGCTCTCCTGTCTCCCTTTGTTTCGGCTTTTAAAAACCAGTCTTTGTCCAGGATTATTAGAAGAAGGGAATGCCATTTGTTGTTACGCCAGGCATGGATTTAGGGGAAAGGCTCTAGCTCCGTGCTATGCACAGCAAGTGGGAATTGCCAAGCTGCATCATGTGACTGCAGCTGGGGGCTCTGTCCCTGAGCAAGTCTGCTCAAGTTTGTGCAGCCAGATCAGAGCTGAAGTGGCGACTGTCAGGGTGAGTCAGCCTGAACCAGCCACTTATCCTGAGCTGCTGCCATTCCTTGCTCCCAGGCTAATGCATCCTGGTTCTACACCTTCCCATAGATGTGCCCTGGGAATTCAGTACCTGATAGATACTCTGAAGTCTTTTAAGATCTTGGCGCTACATAAAAATTGTATTATGCCAATACATTTGTAGGTCTCTGCAGTTCTCTAATCTGGTTGTATTAATATCAGGGCAGATTTTTACTATCAGGACAAGGATAAGTCATATGGATAGTATATAAATTTATGCACTGTGGAGTTTATAGCATTCTTAGTACATTAGTAAAAACTTGCAAAAGTATCCATACTTATATAGACCATGTGTTAGGCTAACAGATAAATTAAAGAGAGGCATAAACCA